CTGAACAAAAAATGTGTGTATTGTATCTGAAGTCCACTAAATACAAGGTCTGCTATATAGCTGTACTTAGATGTCATAGCACATTATGGTTAAGCACAGTCAGGGCAATATGAGTTTCTAGTTCTTATATTCCCCTTCCCTCCCCTACTATAGGAGAAAAACTGAAAGCTTCTATTTCCAAGTTTTCAATTACTTGTAGTTTGGTGTTACATTTGAATTAGACAAAATAATGGTTGAAACAAGCCAGCTCCATATCTCATGGTTTGAAATCAATTTTTTTTAAACAATCCATACTCAAGCTATAATTAATCTTCCCAGGCTCATCATGGTTTATAATTACATCTAACTTCAGCCTAAATGTTTATTTATCTATAACATGATTATTTTGTCCTTTTCTTGCCCTTATTTGTTTAGTGGTTTGGTATATTTTATACCACCATACTTTAAAAGGACTCATGACAATGATAACTGAGCACTTAAGTTTCCATCAGGAGAACATCAAATTTAGAAAGGTTATGTTAGTCATGTAGAAAAGTTTTCTCTACACCAGTGGACTGTTACTGTGGGGAGTTAGAGCAGGATGTCTATTAGGCTAACAACAACAGCACAGTCACAATTCAATGAAAGCATGACATTGTTCTTTGAAAGGGTTAAAAAGCTGACAAACTTTTTTCAGGTATAGAGGGACTCTATTTCTTTGCAGAAGTTTTTGCAGGTATGCCTAGATATCATCTTATTTGCATGCTAGCCTATGTATTTGTAAACCCAGAGGCACTATGCTCATTTTAGAAATAGAAATGAAACAATAAAAAGCCAGTGTTTAGTTCCTTCAGGCAAACAACTGGTAACACACATCAAAAGAGTCAGATGACCCCCATTTCATACCACCAATTTCAGGCAAACTTGTATTTTGAACTCCCAATCATTCTACTTTATCTTCAAAGCCACTCTTCATTCATCAAAGATTGCTCATGGAAGCTATTTTTTCCCCCAACTCCTCCTTCTGCACATACTGCAGCTTCCTTTCATTATGTATGCATTAAGTATAGCATTATGTACACTGCCTTGAGTTGTACAATAAAGGTGGGATATACGTAAATCTAATAATAACTAGTGATTAACTTCCATTTCCTAATGCCTTTCAACAGTGTGTTCCCTTTAACAGCCTTTTTCATTTCTACTCCTACTTCATTTAACAGAGTCTAGTGCAGCAAAACTACAACGGCATTACTTTCCATAAACGTGATGCCACACGTATTAAAAAGTTTCTTGCCATTTCATTGGAAGCTTTGTTCTGTCATCAGCATCATTTTTATCATTGTCCCCACCATATATCTAACACTTTGAGGGAGAGGGGAAAGGGAGACTGATGTACTGCAAACTTCAGCAACTCAGCACTCCAGAGAACTGATTTAAACCATGTGATGTAAACAACCATTAAATCACTTACAATCCCTGAGCAGTTTAATATGAACAAGCAAGCAAATGCTGATTTAAAACAAAACAGGATATAGCAAATGAAGAACAACATAACCCTTAGAAGCAACAGAACTTTTGAAAGGTCCACAGAAAAGAATGGCAGATGACAAAGTCTACAAACAGGCAATACCCAAACCAGGTACCTGAATATTTAGAGTGGAATTAGTCCCAGAATGGTAATATTTTTCACCCTGCTTTTTATTTTATATGATTTTAAAATACATTTTATGTTTGCTTAATTATAATTTTTATTCCTCCCCCCATTTTATTTTTAGAGGGCTGTTTTAATTATTAATAATCTTTGTAGATTGCTCCAATGATAAAACTCTGGATGGCATATAACAAGGCAAACAAATAAAACAATAACATTACATAAGCAAACAAGAATAACAAAACAATTTTAATGGACAGCCACTAAGAGTACAACGCAGGACTGGACCATCCTCCTTCAAAAGGCCTACGATGGAGATGCCAGTCCGTACCTTGGATTAAGATAATGGCCTCTTACAATGTTCAAAACCAAAGTTATAGCAACTGATAATGCCAGCGAATGTATAAATTGAGTTGTCCAGAATAATTTGGCAGGAAAGGATTAGCAAGGTAATTATATGTAACATTATTACATTTATGAATTCAAACCTGTATTTTCTGCTCTTGGAAACTATGTACCAAAGGATCAGTTCTAATGTCTCCAAAAATCAGTGTCAGAGTTACACTTTCCACTTTTATATTGCTTTAAAGGAATTCATGACATGATAGAATCAAGTGAAATTTATCATGTGGAAAGTGTGTAAAAGTCGTAAGGATACAGATGGAGTAAAGAATCTGTCTGAATTATGAGTTGTATTCTAGCGAGAACATTGTCCTTGATCTACTATCTTCCCTATGAGAGATGTTTATGATTAGAAAATTTAAGTGCTACAAGCAAAATCTTCTACCTAGCCCTGTCCCCATACTGGTGGGTTGTATATGTCAATTGTCAAGTGGGCATGTGGCCAAAACAGCAAGATTTTGGTAGAGTTGACAAAGCTGGGAGAAGCAATGGTTAGCATTATTTAAGCATTTCAGGATGACAGTGCTGTGGCTGGAATTCCCAGGAATATCAGTGATATCCTAGATTAATCCACATATTCCATTCCAATCTAATCCCTTCATTTCCCAAAGTCAAAGAAAGATAGAAGAGGTTTCTGTGATCCTTGTAAGAGAGCATTACGAGAAATGGGCATTTATCTGCTATTTAAGGGAGAATTCAAGACTGAAGCAATGTTCTGAATGACATTACTGAAGAGCCTATAATAACACTTTTTTTTAAAGAGATAGTAAAGAAATGTAGTATCCAATCACCTTTAATTAAGTGTAACACCAGAAAATACTAACTCACATTACAAATTTTGTCAAAAACTATGACTTGCAATAAGGAATTTCCATATCTTTAGGTGCTTGAAAATAGTCTTCACATGGTTATAACTGTCGATTCAAAGAGACTGAAATATCACAAAACACATGACGATGTCCTATTACCAATTGAAACTGCCAGTCATCAAAGCAACAACTGCTTGTGGGAGAGCAAGACATAAGGTTCTCATGCTCTGTTCAGCAAATGAACTCCTATGCCTCCAAAATATAAACAATACTGAATGTCTATTCTGTGTTGGTTGGAGCGTAAGCATTCTACAGACCAGATAGAAGTAAATGGGATTGCACGGAAACTGCCAATGCGTAGGAACAGGTTATACAAAATGCTAGCATCTTCACATACACACACACACACACACACACACACACACAGAACTGCTTTGCATCTCTGAAGCTAGAAAGAAGCAAAACCACGATACTTTTGTCACTAAAATAACAATCCACACTGTAAAGAGTTGATCTTTTTGGAACTACCTGGTCAAAAAACAGGTTCACATCAGAAAATCTATGATGTTCCATTGCAGCTGGGAGAAGCGTTATTAAGCAAGTGCATACTACTGAACACCGTTAAATATTCAGTCTATTTTATCTGTAAAAATCTGCAGAATAGTAAAAAGTAAAGAAATGCAGTTTGGTTGTGAGGTCAATGAACAGCTGATTCAAGAAGCATTTTCAAATATTTCTGATTCCGAGCTAAATAGAATTGGGGTTGGAAGTTAGCGCATGTTCTATCATAAAAATTAAAATTATTTCCCTGATGAATGCTAGCACCAAAAACATGAAACTGCCTCTCTATAGTTTCAGGGTAAAATCTTGATCAGCTGAGAACATGATTTCGCCTTTGAAGTGGAGAGAGCCAACAACAATCACCCGGGCTCATTTTTCTCTACACCCCAGCAGCCATCCAATCTCCAGGTTGTCCTTGCATCCTGTGTGTGCACGTGTGTATTGGGTGCCAATCATTCCAGTCCTGGATCTGTCTCAGTGCTCCAAAGAGCAATATATTTCAAAGCCTCCCAAAAGCCACCACCCCAGTTCTGTCATTCCCTGCTCAGAAGGAAGGCAATCCAGCCGCAGGAGAAGCGGTGGGGGCATTTTGTCGTTTCATTTCCCAGCCTATCATTCCGACCCCTAGAGGGCAGCATCCCATTGCCATGCCTTTCCTTTTATTTGGGAAAAGAGGTCAACCCACTCCCAGGTCTGCCATCCCTGGGGGGGGGGGGGGGGGCTGTCATCCCAGTCTCATATGATAAAAAGAAAAAAAAATAGCAAAAATAAGTTTTTAAATAACAAGGAAGGAGGGAATGGATAAGGATTGGGAAGGACTGCATTCCTTGTCACCCATTCTATCACCCTTCCGAGACCCACTCCCTGGTTTCTTTTTCACCTATTTGCAGCTTACGCTGATTTCAATGGTACCCAGCCAGGTCAACATCCCTCTTCATCTGCCATTCATCCCTATGGGCCTCCATTGTTACCAAGGGCCACCCCAGTTCTTGGCTTCAGCACGTCCCAAGGGAGGCTCCTGACCCCTGGGGAGAGGGTTAAGCTAGGCTGCTGACACATGGAGGAGGTGTGATCAAGGCCCAGATGAACTGGAGCTGACATCACCTAGAGATGGCTCACGCATATCGCCCGAGGGACCTTCCCTCCCGATCCACCTGCTGCTGGGCGGCCAAGCTTTCCCAGCATCGCTGACGACATGCTCCCGGCAAAACTCCACGCTGCTGCCGCCCTAATGCCGCTGCA